TCCGCAATCGCAGGAGGGTCGGTGTAATGCACTACCAAAACGCCCGTAACTAAGAAACAAATGCTAATTCGATGATGCCGGCTGGCACACTGATTCACTATGAATGTAGGCCGCACCCCCTAGCGGCAGAAGCTCGTACTACATCCGGTTCGCCCTCTATTGACACAGTCTTGAAACTTTCCGATCGCACCTCGTATAACTGATCCGTGTTTTAACAAGAAGTAAACAAACCGAGCCTGCATTTCACAACAATGACCACACGCCACAGAAAGGTGTTAGGATGGAACAGAAAAGTCAAGTAAAATTAAATTAACTTAGTAAATTATTAAACAATAATCATTATTTACAGAGCCGGTAACGTACTACATGTATACTCATCGCAAAGCGACAGGTCACTAACCTTGTAGACATTTACGCCCGACTTAAAACTGATCACAGAATTAGATCCGACACGACTTGTTGGAGCTGTGATAATAAACTGAAGAGTATTTTGGAATAATGAAATTGAAAGAGCAAGGCCAGGCAAAATGTTTTGGTGTTGTTACAAAAACATCATTCGGTATTTCCGAGTCATAAAACCAGCAACCACTTCCCATGCCTCTCTTGCCGGAAGCGGCAATTGTCAAAGTACAAGGTAATATGAAGGAGTGCATCTGTTTGTTTATTGCCCCATCAATACATTGAAGTAGGTTCATTGCATGGTTAAAAGAAGAGAAAAACAGCCAAAATTACATTCACAAGGAAATATAGAGACAACTAATTTGTGAAAATACTTGCCACTGTGCATTTCAGAATCATTTATTTTTCCAATTTTCTCTTCAGAACAATTAAAATATGCATAAATATATATAACTAAGACCATAATTTTGCCTCCTCTCTTGTATAGGTCTGATATTTGATAGCTGATCACACTTTTAGCTTCTCAAGGACTCCGTTTAACGTGATTAGTTTTATTTAATTAGTTAATAACGTTACACCACTATCCGGTGGTTTCTGGCCTCTACCTAGGAGACTTAGCTGGCTGCAGTGCATGTGGCTGTTGCATCTGCTTCTCCTCTTGTTCCAACGGGCTGACAGATTAAAGACTGAAGCATCTTAAGGACAGAAGATATCAAACTTGCTTGGAACTGGATAGCCAACTTCCATCACTTGGGGTGGTTGTATCCTCTTCTTATTCTGTTTTGATGACCCAGGTTCTTCTCCATCTGTCTGGAGTTGCTGCACAAGTGGTGGCCCATAAATGCATAGAAAACCTGCAGATGTACTTTCCACTGGATAACTGACCAACCACTGCTTAGCACACCAGCTATGTACATGGAGTTCAAGGGTGAAAATCACAGAATGGGGCCAACTATCCTGACTGATGCTGTTTCTGACTTTCCTCATTTCCTTAATGAAAATTCTGGGATAGTATCTTGAAATAACCCACAACCACTTCTACTTTATCACTATATAACTTATGCGCCTGAAAAACATAGTTAATTAAATCAACACCACAGAGTACCGAGCAGTGCTCTCACGTGGTAAGCTTTGACATTTGTTTCTCCCAGACTTTAGAGAACACAGTCCTCCTTGAAAAGCTAATAGCATTGAATAAAAATTTACTTGGATATTATCCATCGTCTGGTAGATATAAAACGTAAAACGACGTTTCGGAGATGGGACTCTATCTCCGTCTTCAGG